TGCTTCCGGCTCGGTGAGGGCCTCAGGGAGCACGACCGCGACATTGTGAGCCACCGCCAAAGGGGTTCGTATGTTGCTGTAGCTTGCGGTTCCACTGATGCATGTGTTCGAGCAGCATGGAGCAGTGGCCGCGTCTGTTGCCTGCAGGTTCGTGCTGCGACGAAGAAGCGCAATAGGTTGCGGCTCCAGTGATGCATGTGTTCGAGCAGCATCGAGCAGTGGAAGCGTCTGTTGCCTGCAGTTTCGTGCTGAGACGAAGAAGCGCAAGGCTCCCGCACCTGTAATCCCTCGCGCGCTCCCCCTCCTTCAGCCGGGGTCGGCGGATATAGTAGCTTCTTGTTACTAGCAGTCATGCCAGGAACTACTAGTAGCTTCTTGTTCCTAGTAGCGATGCCCTTGTTCCTAGTGGTCCACCTGGTGGGCCTGGTGGATGCTACTATACGACCACAGCGGCCGTGGCCCAATGGCGGCATGATAATACGACATGGATCACCCAGCGGAACTGGTTTGCGCAACAAATCAGATTTATTTTGAAACCCATTCTTGATGTTTGTTGCGCAGGAGGGTGATCATTGCGGACTGTGGGTTGCTTGGCCGGCATGCAAGACATATCTATAGAAATCATGCAGAGGGACGCACATAATTGTTCAAGGAAGCTCCCCCCCGCCCTTAGGCGGGGGGAGCTTCCTAGTCGTTACTCAATTAAGTCGTCTCACGAGACGCAGGAGACGCAGAGCGACAGCTGACATTTTTCAGGTGGCTCTTGGTGACGCGTGTGCCACTCCGTGACCTTGCAACCGTGCCAACGGTGCGTCAAATTGCAGAGGCCGTGGCCGCCAGACTGGAGAGGCCGACGCAGTGTGGCCCCAGACGGAAGGTGTGACCAAAGGTGACCTGAACGGTGTCTACTAGGAACAAGGGCATTGCTACTAGGAGCAAAGGGCATCGCTACTAGGAGCAAGAAGCTACTAGTAGCTCCTGGCATTACTACTAGTAACAAGAAGCTACTGGTAGCTAGAAGCTATTAGG